CCAATGGACCCAGACTTCAAGGAACAGGAGAGAACTGAGGGAACCTCACTTAAAGTCAAGGGCCTGCTTAGTCTCATGGACTGTACAGAGAGCGGGAGAAACAGCTTGCCCTGGAGACAGCCTGGGAGCAGAAATAATAAGGAGCTAATCATCCATGCTTGTCTGCAGTAATAGAAAGCAAACAATTCATCAGTGGTCCCAACTATCTCTTGCCCAGACCAGTCTATGCCTTACAGAACCCCCTCACACCTCCATCAATGCAGGCTAGCATTGCTTTTGTTTTTCTTTTTTGAGACAGAGTGTCACTCTGTCACCCAGACTGTAGTGCAGTTGGCGCGATTCGGCTCACTGCAACCTCTGCCATCCGGGTTCAAGCGATTCTCGTGCCTCAGCCTCTCGAGTAGCTGGGATTACAGGCATGCACCACCACATCTGGTTAATTTTTGTATTTGTAATAGAGACAGGGTTTCACCATGTTAGCCAGGGTGGTCTCAAACTTCTGGCCTCATATGATCCGCCTGCCTCAGCCTCCAAAGGTAGGGATTACAGGCTTGAGCCACCGCACCCAGGCAGGCTAGCATTGATTTTTGTTCCAATAGCTACTTAGGCTCCCTGTTAATGTGGCTTTTGTTGCTGTTCACTGGCCGTTCACTTCTCATAAGTACCATTGAGGACTAATCAGTCTAACACTGGCACAGAAATATAAATGTATTTCTATGTGCTTTTATAATAAATCTTATAAATCCAGTGAAAAAAAAATTTTTTTTATAGTTTGCCTTGGTAATTCCTAGGCCGGGAAGGGGGACCAGATATATCAGGTGCCACATGAGACACCTCTCCTAGGGCAGTACCAGGTACTAGGGAACATGAGATGCGGATGCAAACTTAAGGGGTAGCTTCCCTTGTCCGTACAGTAGCTTAACGATGAAGGTGGACGAGTGGCAGTTCTACCTAGTTCCAGAAACCTCCACAGCTAGACTTGTTTTTGTTTTTGTTTCTGTTTTGAGACAGAGTCTCATTCTGTCACTCTGACTGTAGTGCAATGGTGTGATCTCAGCTCACTGCAACCACTGCCTCCTGGGTTCAAGTGATTCTCCTGCCTCAGCCTCCTGAGTAGCTGGGATTACAGGTGCCCGCCACCACACCTGGCTAAGTTTCGTATTGTTAGTAGAGACGAGGTTTCGCCATGTTGGCCAGGCTGGTCTCGAACTCCTGATCTCAAGTAATCCGCCTGCCTCTGCTTCCCAAAGTGCTGGATTACAGGCATGAGCCACTGTGCCCGGCCTTAGCTAGATCTTTAAGGCAACGGTTCCCCACCTTTTCAAGTATGAGATGCATTGTAACGTTAGGAAACTTCATAGGTCTCATTAACAGTGCTAGTATCATTCATTTTAAAAATCCTATTGTCAAGTGACATTTTTTTTTCTTTTGAGTCAGTCTCACTGTTGCCCAGGCTGGAGTGCACTGATGTGATTGACAAGTGACATTTTAAAATGAATGCTGTGTTTTACAGATGGCAACAGCGCCCTCACACGCTATGTACAATTCAGCCTACAGATGTACTTGGTGGCATTCGAGCGTGATGAGCCTCACAGGGGTTTTCAGACACAGACTTTGCTAAGAACAACATGTGGATGGTTTTAAAAGAACAATTGGAATGAGCAGACTACAATTTTCCAACAGTTACTTTCAACACAAGTGCATGCGGAAAGCTGAAATCATATGCATCTGTGGTTAGATTCTGGCCTTATCCCTGTGCTGACCTTGAGCTTCCCTGTAATTGTTGGGCTCTTTCTCTGCCTCCAGGCTGAACCCTCCACTGCTTTCTCTACTACCAGGAATGGAGGGACCTAAGCTCCAATGTGCTCATCCCGGAACACCAAGGCGCTTTGCATTTCTCAAACTTCAATTCCCCAAGCACAGGTTTTCTGCTCTGCTGGACGGAAAGACAACATTTCAATCATTCTCAGGCTTGCTCTGCTCCTGTTCCTACTTGTCCAGGTTCATAAACGCAGGACTCACAGGAAGGGCCCCTCCCCTGGGAGTCGCGTTCAGAGGACGGGGCCTATGGCAGGAGGGAGTGGTCTATGAGCCCCTGGGGCTGGAAGATTCCTCTCCATTCTTTAGTGGCATTTCCCTTGGCACTTGTTTTCTGCTCTCGCTACAGACACCTGAACACCTGCTCTCACTACAGACAAGCTTAACCCCACCTTGAAGCCAGGGCATGGTTACCTAACAAAGGCCGCCCTCCTGTGAAGGCAGGTCTGAGAGGCCATCTGCAGAGAGGCAGGGTCATTCCTGAGGGGCGGGGAAACCATCGCAGACACTCCAGCTGCTGCCTGACCGAGTGTCTGAGATGCCTGCCAAGGAAAAAGGAGAATTCTGGTTAAAAGTGAGCTAAAAACTCTGGGGAAGTATTTCAATATCTAACTGAGAGAGAGGCCGAGAAGGCAGCTGGGACCACTGTGGAGACAATCTCAGACAATCTCAAGGAGCTTCAACCAAAGCAACCAAGAACAGGGGGAGTTCAGATTTCTCTCTTAAATTCTGCAGGGGAGGCCAGTGTGGTGGCTCACACCTGTAATCCCAAGACTTTGAGAGGCCAAGGCAGGAGGGTCACTTGAGGCCAGGAGTTCAAGACCAGCCTGGGCAATGTAGCAAGACCCTGTCTCTACCAAAAAAAAAAAAAAAAAAAAATTTAGCCAAGTGTGGTGGCAAATGCCTGTAGTCTCAGCTATTTGGGAGGCTGAGGCAGGAGGATCACTTCAGCGAGCTATGCTCACATCACTGCACTTCAGCCAGGGTGACAGAGCAAGATCCTCTCTCTAAAAATAAAAAATAAAAAATAAAAACAAAGCTGCAAGGAGAAGGGGAAGAAGAAGATACTGAGACTTCTCCCAACAAGAGGAAAAGGCCCAAAGAAAGACCTTTTCTTGAAGGCAAAGTTCAGCTCCTTCATCATGCGTCTTTAGTGCTGTGAGCTTTTGTGCTGTTGGCCCTTAGGACCAAGGAGGCAACATGAGCCCAGATCCAGTAGAGCTACTAGTGATGGGGCCGAAGGGAGGGGAGTCTAGACCCATCCTACTTATTATTATAAAATGTTAGCCTAACCAGCTTCTGGGAAGCAGTCTAATTAAAAGTGGACAGAAGCTAAAAGTGGCAGCTAGTCAGCTCTGCGTACAAATCCCAACTCCATGTCTTCTTAGTTGTTGGACCTGCCCAGGCAAGCCCCTGAATCTCCTTATGTCTCAATTTCCTCATCTGTCAAAATGCTAGTCACAGCAGACCTCCTTTATAGGGTCGTTATGGCCCATGGGCTTGCAATAAATTTGGTGTCTAATTTTGGAGTGATTTGGGACTGCAGTTTAACAAGCTTGATTCCAAATGTAGCACAAAGTAGGCTCTCAATCAACGTTAATGGAATGAATCACTCTCAATGATAAATACTTCAGGAGAGGTAGCTGGAAAAAAATGTTTGTGACTGATAAATTGTGTGCAGGGTGAGTTTTACAAGGGAATGTTGATACTTTATGAGTCAAGATGGCATTGAGTTTTAAATAGAGGAAACATTTCAGAAGAGAAATAAATACAATTGGCTTTCCAGAACTGCATTCCACATCTGCAGATTCAACCAAAAATATTCTATAAAAGGCCGGGTGCGGTGGCTCACTCCTGTAATCCCAGCACTTTGGGAGGTCGAGGCTGGTGGATCATGAGGTCAGGAGATTGAGACCATCCTGGCTAATACAGTGAAACCCCGTCTCTACTAAAAAATACAAAAAATTAGCCGGGCTTAGCGGCGGCGGCCGCCTGTAGTCCCAGCTACTCAGGAGGCTGAGGCAGGAGAATGACATGAACCCGGGAGGCAGAGCTTGCAGTGAGCCGAGATCGCGCCACTGCACTCCAGCCTGGGTGACAGAGCCAGACTCTGTCTCAAAAAAAAAAAAAAAAAAAAAAAAAATCTAAAAACATAGATGGTTGCGATATATAGACGTTTTTCCTTATCGTTTTCCCCTAAACAATACAACAACTATTTACATAGCATTTACATTGTATTTCTTATTGTAAGTAGTCTAGAGATTATTTAAGTATACTAGAGAATTGTATAGCTTACATGCAAATACTGTGCTATTTTATACAGGAATTGTGTTATTCTCAGGGTCCCTGCAACCAATTCCCCACAGATAGTAGGGGACAACTATATATGGTTCTACAGAAGTGGCCTTGACATCAAGATACCTAAATTCTAATCCTGATTCTGCTACTAATTTGTTTTGTGGCATCAAACAAGCTGACTTCAGACTCACTGTTTTCTCATTTGAAAAGCGAAGTTGGGCCACATTATATCTAAGGTTCATTTCTATTCAGACAGTGGATAATTCTGTAACAGTCTCTGGAACCTCTGCAAGAAATGCTACTTGTAAAGCAAGGCAAAAGTGGTTTTAAGGGGAAAAAAAAAGATCTATGTCTATTACAATACATGCCTCATTTTTACCAGGATAAAAACCACTACAAACATCATCCGCATCGTTGCTATTACCTACTGTTGACTGTGGCTAGGCTCCGCACTAGAGCATGTTAGACATACGATCTCATTCAGTCCTCTCAACAGTTTTCAGCATTTCACAAGATTTATTCTGCAAAGAAAAGATTTGGCCAGGTGCAGTAGCTCACACCTGTAATCCCAGCACTTTGGGAGACCAAAATGGGAGCATTGCTTGAGCCTGGGAGTTCGAGAGTAGCCTGAGCAACATGGAGAAACCTCATCTCCACTGAAAATACGTAAATTAGCCAGCCATGGCAGTGCATGCTGTGGTCCCAGCTACTCGGGAAGCTGAAATGGGAGGATCACTTGAGCCAGGGAGGTAAAGGTTGCAGTGAGCCATGATCGCGCCACTGCACTCCAGCCTGGGCGACAGTGCAGGACTCTGCCTCGAGAAAGAAAAAAAAGAAAGAAATTTACATTCCCTCTAAAAAAAGAACTGGATCATTATGGACTGCGTGACTTAAAGCTACCATTTATTGTAGTCTTCTTCATGCCAGGTACTTTACATTTTTCCTAATCTTCAAACAACTCTGCAAAGTAGGCAGTACAGGTCCTGTGTTAGTTTTCTATCGCTATGTAACAAATCCTCACAAACCTGGTGGCTTAAAATAGGACCCACTTATTATCTCATGGTTTTCATGGGTCAAGGAGTCCAGCATGGCTCAGCTGGGTCCCTTGCTCAGAGTCTCTCAAGGCTGAGACACCACCAAGGTGTCAGCTGGGCTGTGATCTCGTCTCGTCTCGTCTCGTCTCGTCTCATCTCATCTCACTGAAGTCTTCGTCCAAGCCCACTAGTGGCTGGTTCCAGAGATGACCTGCCCCCCCTGCAATGGCAGCCAGCGTTCCTGATGGGTATAGGACTGAGGTTCCTGCTTTCTTGCTGGTTGTCAGCTGGAGCTGCTCTAAGCTCCTAGCGGCTGCCTATCATTCTCTGCTGTGTGGTCTTCTCCACAGCAAGGCATCTTGCTTCTTCAGTCCCAGCACTTTGGGAGGCTGAGGCAGAAGCGTCGTTTGAGATCAGGAGTTTGAGAGCAGCCTGGGCAACAGAGTGAGACCCCATCTCTAAATAAATAAATAAATAAATGCCATCAGGAGAGTATTCCTGACTCCCATTTGTCTCTGGCTTCTGGACCCTCTTTTCAAAGACTCACCTAACTAGGCCAGGTTCACCCAGGATAACCTCCCCTCCATTAACTCAGAATCAACAGATTGGATACTCTAGTGGCAGAAACCCTTCACCTTTGCCATACCATGAAAGATAATCATGGGTGTGATGTCCCACCATATTCACAGGTCCCATGACACTCAGGGCAGGGGGTTATCCAGGGGGTGTATACCAGGAGGAAGGCCCAGGACTCTGCCCACCACAAGCCCTGCTTTAGCCTGATTTAGAAGTCATGAGTTACCTGTCTAAAGTCCCATGGGGGACAGATAGTGACACTGGACCTTCCCTCAAGCAAAGGTCCTGAACCCACCTTGGGGAGAAATAGCCCTTTCTAGACAAGTCTAAGTTTCTTCTTACACATCACAGCTCTGTTCTAACAGCAAACTTCACAATCTCAAAATGAACCCTTTATGAGGTCATCTGGAGCACCTGCAGTTCCTAATACTTTACTACATGTCAAATTCACTGCGGCTCAATCCAGACCCAGATTCCCCTGGGAGTCCCCCCTCGGTACAAGTCAGTCAACTCTGAGCCTGTGCCATCAATTACCCAGAAACCAGCTGACAAAATTGACTAATAATGGCATGCACACCAGGGAACAGATCTCCTGACTCGATTCTATTTCCTTTCTCTCTGCCCCCGCTCTGTCTTTGCCCAGGCATCACACCATTGCTCACAAAGCTTCGCCACCTGGACAGTTTCCCACTCAGTTTGTGATAATTCTTCTCTTGCCTGACTTGGGCCTCACCCAGATTAAGTACTCAAGAAAAATCTTGGCGTGAACTCTTCTTGCTTGGTAATAAGCACATCTCAGACTACCTTAATCTTCTCCCCCTAAGTTTCAAGTGCTGGGGGTGCTTAAGTTAACCGATGTTTGATGCTTGCAGAGCTGTGTGCATTTAGTCCCTCAGTCTCTCCCCAGGTGAGCCTGGAGAGTGAGTATCTCTACTCATTGGCTCAGACACTTACCTCTTTTCTCTACGCAGGTAGCCACATGCTGAGCTTTTCCTACTCTAGAGAGCACAGTGCAAGGATCTCCAGTCTGTTGGGCACCTACTAAATGTCATATCCATATACGTGCAATGATCTATCACCTTTTATAGTTGTAGAATCTGAGGCTCAGAGAGATCGGATTGCTTGTCTGAGGTCACACTGCTGTTGGTATTGCAGCCAGGAGTTGAACTCAAGACTGTGTTTTGGCAAAGCCGTCCTCTTTCCATACTTACTGTTAAATTGTTTTGTTTTGTTTTGTTTTCTTAAACCAAGTGTAGTCCCAACAACGTTGAACAGCGTTTAGGTAGGTAAAAGCTTTGAGGGGACCTTTTAGGGTTTTGATGAGACTTCTTAACAGATATGCATTTCTCAAACATGACAACGTAACATTCATATTAAACATAAAACTTGGTATTTCCATAGAATTTTTCTTTTCTTTTCTTTTTTTTTTTTTTTGAGACGGAGTCTTGCTCTGTCACCCAGGCTGGAGTGCAGTGGCCGGATCTCAGCTCACTGCAAGCTCCTCCTCTTGGGTTCACGCCATTCTCCTGCCTCAGCCTCCCGAGTAGCTGGGACTACAGGCAGCCGCCACTTCGCCCGGCTAATTTTTTGTATTTTTTAGTAGAGACGGGGTTTCACCGTATTAGCCAGGATGGTCTCGATCTCCTGACCTCATGATCCGCCCGTCTCGGCCTCCCAAAGTGCTGGGATTACAGGCTTGAGCCACCGCGCCCGGCCTTCCATAGAATTTTTCATACATTTCTGCATCGTAGTGCATGTGTTTGCCTGAGACATATTAGTCTTTCAGGAAATATTTGAAGACAGAAAGGCAGGATGAGAGGAGAGGAAGGCGGTGGGGATGTGTGGGGTGCTGGTGGGCTGTGTGTTGGGGGGTGGGGGATGCCTGCTATCCTGAGCCTGAGAGCTGCAGAGCCGCTCTGGTACCAGCGGGACCGGTACATCCTCGCTGCTTCAGCATGCTTCTATCGCCACCTAGCCACCTCGGGGAGAAATGCCCTCTCTGGGCAAGTCCGTCCAGACTTGAATGTTGTTTGCCCACTTACAGGTGGGTAGCTTTAGACCATGAAACTTGGAGAGTCCTTAGTCCTTCCCACAATGGACGCCTGTGCGCCCTGTCTTTTTTTTTTAATTAGTGGCTTTCTTTAGCAGTTGATTCCAAGGCCTATTACATTTAAAGATAAATTTTTGAAAATTGGTATCACTGAGGATTGGTACCATTAAGGCTTCTCCGCACAAAAGAAGGGGATTGTTACTCCCTTGAGAGCCCTCTCCTGTGGGAGTGCCTGACACTGCCATGGACCCTCCCCGTGCACATGTCCATATCCAGATCAAATGTGGTCTCCATGAAACTTGTGAAGCAACAGCTTCCATTTAATCAACACTTGCCATGTGCTGGGGGCTTTATGAGTGTTTTCTCATGTAATTCTCACAGAAATCTTCTGAGGTAGGTATGGTTAAGGGCACCGAGGCACAGTGAGGTCCTGGAGCTGGTCCATGGCAAAGCTGGGATTTGAACCCAATTGGTCTCTTCCCCAGGCCCATGACCCTCCTCTCATCCAGCGTCTCTTGATTTCCCCAGCCAAAGTGTCATCTCTCTGCTCTGCAAGCACTTCCTTTCTGTCTCCTAATGCCATTCAGATTATATTTTCTCTTTCTCTAAACCAGAGACTCCAACTCCAAGAGGGACATCGTCCTTTGCTGTGTTGTGTGTGCACACACAGATTCTCACTTGAGGTGGTTACTCAGTTCATTCATCCAGGTTGTGAAACTGCAGCAGCTTCAATTTGTTGTTCTATTTCAGTCATTCTGAGGTGGTATCTCCCAAGGTATATAAGGATCCCTGGTGTCAGACAACAGCCCAGGGAATTGTTATTTGCATTCTAATCTGTTCTCGTAGGAGGAGGATGGTCAACTAGTGGTGCTCTATGTAACAAAGGCAGACATGGGATTGACCACTGAGAGAGGCAGAGGGGAAGAGAGACCTGCAGCCAGACTGGAGGCAGGACCACCTGGGAACAGTGAGTCTTGGTTCACATATTTTGAGGAAACTGATCAGCAGGCAGGGAGCAAAGAGTTCCGTCAGCTCCATCCTGGAGCAGGCTGAGTAGAGGCATCAAGGAAAACAATGTCACTGGTTTGCTGACTCTTCTTCTTTTTTTTTTTTTTTTTTTTTTTGAGACATAGTCTTGCTCTGTCGCCCAGGCTGGAGTGCAGTAGTGCGATCTCGGCTTACTGCACCCTCTGCCTCCTGGGTTCAAGTGATTCTCCTGCCTCAGTCTCCCAGGATTACAGGTGCTAGGAGGCTGAGGATTACAAGCGTCCCCCACCCACGCCCAGTACTGTAAAAGTGCTGGGATTACAGACCTCCATGACCATGCCCAGCTAATTTTTGTATTTTTTTTTAAGTACAGACAGGGTTTCACCATGCTGGCCAGACTGGTCTCGAACTTCTGACCTCAGGTGATCCGCCCACCTTGGTCTCCCAAAGTGCTGGAATTACAGGCATGAGTCACTGCACCAGGCCAGGCTTGCTGACTCTTGGGAGTGTGGCTATGTTGTAAGTGACAGGCTGTCCCGGGTTCTCCACCTTCAGCCATCGTCACCATCCTGCATGAGGTTCCTCAGCAGGGGACTGAGCACTCGCAGGTCGCTGCTGGGACACGCAGAGGAAAGCAAGACCATCATGTCAGTATGGGAAAAGTGAAGAGTGAGGCCCAGGACTCTGAGAGAAAGGAGTCCTGGCCCAGAGATTGTGTGAGGAGAGCGTGGGATTAATGGGGTGCCCAAAAGCAGAGTCTGGGGGTGATTAGATAGGAAATTAAAGATTGGTGGGTGGAAGGAAAGGAAAGAAATAACAGGTGTAGACAGAAAAATTCACACTAAGAATGACCGTGGGCATGGGACACAGGCCAGTCAGACAGATTGTCAGACACCTGGAGAGGTGCCCAGCAGCTTGGAGCCCTCGGGAGCTCAGGGCACCAGCTCCTGACCAGAATGGAGCAGCCCGGGATCTTACCCACCGCTGCTCTCACGGGGCGCACACTGGCTGAACGTCTGCACGGGGTATAGGCAAGAGGAGAGAGAAACATGAATACCCGAGGTCACCAAAGGACATGCACGCCAGTCAGTGACAAAAGGGAACGTGGCACAGCATGGAGAAGCTGCTCTTAGGTCAGATCAGGCTCCTGTCATCACCACCGGTGACCCTCCCTGCCGGGGAAGGTGGCCCTGGCAGCGAGCACCTGTCCGGCTGGCTGAGCGGCAGCCCACGTGTCCGGGGCAGGGTGGCCAGCTGACCAGCTGGGCCGGAGCCCAGAGTGCTGAGGCTCGCAGCCCGATCTCGGCAGTCCTGTGCCCTCGCATCAGGCCACAGCCCACAGGTGGCTCTTCCTGCATGCCGGAGGAAACAGAATCCCTGCCAGCAGAGAAGGAGCGGCCCAGCCACTTGCCTGTGGGTTTCATGAAATGTGCGACTCTGATCTCATACCCCTTAGAATTTCTAGTAAAAGATCCAGAATGTCTGACTTCCCAAGAAGGAACCTTCATGGGAAGGAATAGGCAGGAACGTTTTCAGAACCAGTTCCTCAATTTCTCCAGGTTCCAAAAAGCTGCAAGACCATACTCACCTCTTCAGGGTCTCCACATCCCCTGAATATCATATTCAGCTGTTGTTCCCATCACGTCTTGAGTAAATTTTTGTGGCTGTTTCTAATTATCCCCTCTGCCTGGGGAGTTCATTTTGCATCACAGTGTTACTTTGGGCCATCTAAAACTATTTCCATCTTACCATATGTGTTCGGCTCTCACTAATTGGGGAAAGTTATTTTTAGTATTTCCTCTTCTTTCCATCTTTGCAGATTTGCCCTATTTAGGGGGAAAAAAATCCTGAAACAGTTTCTTGTTTTTTAGAGACATACCAGAGATGCTTTTAAAGTTCTACAAGCAACATTTTCATGTGGCGTATGCCTGTAGTCCCAACTACTTGGGAGGCTGAGGCAGGAGGATCACTTGAACCCGGGAGGCGGAGGTTGTAGTGAGACAAGATCATGCCACTGCACTCCAGCCTGGGCAACAGAGTGAGACTCTATATCAAAAAAACAAAAAACAAAAAACAAAAACAAAAACAAACAAAACTTAAACATATTCTCACCATAAAATACAGCAATTGCACTCCTTGGTATTTACCCAAAGGAGTTGACAACATACCCACACAAAAACCTGCATGCAGACATTTATAGCAGCTGTACTCATAATTGCCAAAACCTGGATGCAAACAACATGTCCTTAGATGAATGGATAAATATAAATCGTGGTACATCTAGACAATGGGATATTATTCATTACCAAAAAGAAATGAGCTATCAAGCCATGAAAAGATATGGAGGAACTTTAAATGCATGTTAGTATGTGAAGGAAGACAATCTGAACATCTTCTATGGTTCCAACTATATGATATTCTGGAAAAGGCAAAACTGTGGAGACAGTAAAGGAATCAGTGGTTGCCAGGGGTTAGCAGGGAGGGAAGGATGAACAGGTGGGGCACAGAGGATGTTTAGGACAGTGAAAATACTCCCTATGAGACTGTAATGGTGGATATGTGTCATTATGCAATTGTCCAAATCCATAGAATGTTTAACACCAAGAGTGAAGCGTAATGTAAAATATCAACTTTGCATAATGATATCTCAATGTAGTTTCATCAATTGTAGCAAATGTACCACTCTAGTAGGGAATGTTGACAACGGGGGAGGCTGTGGGTGTGTGGGGTGGCAGTATATGGGAAATCTCTGTACCATCCTCTCAATTTTGCTGTGAACTTAAAACTTCTCTATAAAATAAAGTCTAATAAAAATAAATGTATTTTTTTAAGTTAACCACCCTTTATTAAAAGACTTTGTAGGAAATTAAGCTTAACAGAGTAACTGTTACTACATTTTGGTTACTGCTCTTTTTCCAGTCTCTCTCTCTATCCTACAGGTCCAAGAAACTAACTTGGGAAAGAAGAGGGGAAGTTCTTATTTTCACATGCTGGTAAGACATTCTAGTATTACCATGTCGAAATATAAGCTTTAAAATTGTAGACCAGTGGTGGTGGGGGCTCTGCAAACCAGCTATTGAAAAACAAGTGGATTCATCTCTGCACTTTAAATAAGAGGTGATAAGTAGAAAACACAAGTAGGTTCAGAATGGACTAACAGGGCTTTTCAAATTTGAGTGTTGTATTAGTCCATTCTCACGCTGCTGTAATGACATCCCTGAGACTGGGTAATTTATAAAGAAAAGAGGTTTAATCGGCTCAAAGTTCTGCAGGTTGTACAGGAAGCACACTGCCGGCATCTGCTCAGCTTCTGGGGAGGCCTCAGGAAACCTACAATTATGGCAGAAGTCGAAGGGGAAGCAGGCATGTCTTACATGGCTGGAGCAGGAGGAAGAGAGAGAGTGGGGAGGTGCCACACACTTAAACAACCAGATCTCGTGAGAACTCACTCATTGTTATGAGAACAGAAACAGCACTAAACAGAGATATCCACCCCTAAGAGCCAATCACCTCCCACCAGGCCCTACCTTCAAGATTGAGTATTACATTTTGACATGAGATGTGGGTGGGACACAGATCCAACCTATAGCAAATGTGTGTACAAATCACTTGGGATCTTGTTAAAAATGAAGATTCTGATTCAGTAGATTTGGGACGAGGCCAGTAATTCTGCATGTCTAGCAAGCTCCCATGTCCCAGGTGACATCCGTGCTACTGGTCCAGGAACCACACTTTGGTGGCAAGAATGTGAGTCATTGTGTGTGTTGCTATACTTAGTCTTCCTGGTATTGAACTTGAGACCTTCTTATTCATCTTTGTATCTCCAACACTTATAAGGTGACCAACATCAAGTTAACACATATTTACAGAATAAATAAATCTTAGCCTTTCTTTCTCTGAAACAATGGTGAGAGCAACCCTCTCAGGTATGGATGGGATAATATCCAAAAGTATCCATGCTTCTTCAGGATTTAAGGAAGACCTTCAAAAGAAAATCTAAAGAACAAAAGTGCTCCACATTTGGCCCATATCCACTTCCTTTTTGTAGAAATGATAGAAGCAAAAATAAAGAAAATAGCTTGGTGAGACTAGATGGTTAGATGAAAGGGTTCCAGGGAGTAAAGATGGCAAGAGCTCAAGCTAGCACACTAGAAAAAGTCTCCTTTTCCCGGGTGCCAGTTTCCAAACTATGCTTTGCAAAGAGAACTGTGATGAACATCCTTAAACACTGAATTAATGTGTGTCAGCAAAAAAATTTCCCTAAAATTGTTTTATTCTAAGGATATTAATAGGGAGCGTGCATGTCCTTTCAGCAACATGCTGGAGCATTGTCTAAAAAGCCCACTGAAGATTATTTAATTCTCTAACAGAATGTCCCTGTGTTTGCCTTTAGTATTTACTATTTGAATATAACTCAGACACTGTGGAGGTCTCTGTGGCCTTATATATTTCCATCCAGTAGAAGGTCTTATTCCAAAGGTTATGGTACCATTGTCCTGCACCATATGATGCAATTATGTATGTAACTTAGCAATGTTATTTAAACATCCTTTTTTTAAAAAAAAAATTATTTCTTTAAAGAAATAATTTTATAAATAGAGACGGGGTCTCGCCATATTGCCCAGGCTAGTCTCAAACTCCTGAGCTCAAGTGATCCACCTACCTTGGCCTCCCAAAGTGCTGGCATTACAGGTGTGAGTCACCACACCTGGCCTATTTGAACGTTCTTTTAAAAATGTTACTATAACCCAGCATTTTGGGGGGCCGAAGCAGGTGTATCACTTGAGCTCAGGAGCTCAAGGCCAACCTGGGCAACATGGTGAAACCCTGTCTCAATTAAAAAAAAAAAAAAAAAAATTCCTTTGAATGCCCAGTTCCTCAAAATGCTTTCTCAACCAGCTTTACCACCTTACTGAATCTCTCACTAATGAACAAATATTTGACATGTTCTAATTGTATATTTGTATGAGAGTCATGTTTTTAACTTTTTGAAAATTATGCTTTGACAGAATAAATTACCAGAAATAGAACTTGGCTCAGAACCTCACATATCTTCAGACCAAGAACAACTATGCTGGAGAAGCTGTATTTCCTTGACCATCACTGAGGAGGCTCATCTGCACCTGGAATGAATTAAGATATCAATGTCCTATTTTGACTGCATGTTGTTCAGAAATGAGACTTTGGGAAGTCTTAGCAGAGGGTAAATGCATTTTGTATGTGTAGGGGAATATAAATAATTTTGGGTCAGTGGGCAGAGGAGTTTTTAATAATTATTTGACACCCCTCCCTTCTGTGGAGCTAATTCCCCTCCCCTTGAGTGAGTCACCTGGTGACTCATTACTAATGAATAGAATGTGGCATAAATGACAGAGCATGACTTTTTTCTTTTCTTTTCTTTTTTTTTTTTTTTTTTTTTTGAGACAGGGTCTCACTCTGTGGCCCAGACTGGAGTGCCATGGTATAATCACAGCTCACTCAGCTTCAACTTCCTGGGCTCAAGCAATCCTCTCACCTCAGCCTCCCAAGTAGCTGGGATTATAGGCACACACCACCACATCCAGACAATTTTTGTATTTTCTGTAGAAACAGGGGTTTCACAGTGTTGACCAGGATGGTCTCGAACTCCTGGACTCAAGTGATCCTCCCACCTCAGCCTCCCAAAATCCTGGGTTTACAGATATGAGCCACTACGCCCAGCCTGACAGAGCATGACTTCTGAGGGTAGGTCATAAAAGACATTGTGACTTCCGGTTTGTTCTTTGAACACTTGTCTAAAGGAAGTCAGCTGCCATGTCTCAATGACACTCAAGTGGCCCTATGGAGGGGCCTAAAACAGCATCCTCCCGCCAACAGCCATCAAGGAACTGAGGAACTGAGGCCCTTTGCTAACAGCCATGAGGGCACGATCATGGAAGTAGATCTCCCGCCCCTGTCAAGCCTTCAGATAACTGCAGCCCCAGCTGACTGCTCAACTGCAACCTCGTGAGAAACCCTCAGTTAGGACAACCCAGCTAAGCTATTCTCAAATTCCACAGAAACTGTGAAATAATACATGCTTTTGTTTTAAGCAACTAAGCTTTGGTTAATTTGTTACACAGTAATAGACAATGAATACAGCTGGCTTATCAGGTATGTATAGTTTAAGGCTTTTCATGTAGATTGCAAAATTGCCTTCCTGAAATGTTATGCCAATTTACACTCCCAGGAAGAATTGCATAAGAGTGCTCATGTTCTCAGTCCTTCCTCTTGTTAAGTGCTACATTTTTTCTTTATTCTTTCTGATATTCTTTATTCTTTCTGATAGAAAATGGTATCTTATTTTATTACTCTGATTTATATAGTTTTAAAGTTCAGTGAGGTTGAACACTTTTCATGTATTTATTATCTGTTTTCTGTATCTCTTGATCAAATGCTGTGTATATATATATTTGGTTAAATTGTAGTGTTAATTTTTTTCATTCATTGATTCCTAAGGTCTATTTGGCTCTTAAGCATCTTATATCTGCCTATTACTATGTTGCAAGTATTTCTTTTAGTTTGCCACATAGATATCCTTATATGGGGGACATGAAGATGTACTGCCTACAACCCTTTCAAGGAAGATTGGTGCCAGCTGTCTCTTGCCTCAGTTGCAGAGAGCTGCCTTGCCCAAGAGTATGCTCTTCCTGTGACCCATATCCATGGACCAGTTGTTGTAGGGTGTAAAGGTCCAGCCATTTCAGCCCACCATGGTCCTGCTCTGGCAAGCCATTGACACTCCCGAGCTCTCCACAGGGTAGCATTACTGATCTGTGTTGTAGTTCAACCACTCCCCTAGAGAAACCCTGCTTCCTTCATCTCCTTTCCACAAGTGTTGATCTGTAACAAACACAGTGCCCATCAAATTTCAACCTGGCATCTGTTTCTAGAATACCTAACCTGTGACATCCTGGAAATTAATTGCTTAATTTGTAATTGATATACTATCTATATACCTCTACACATAAATGCATTACTCTTGAAAATAATGTATTATGTTTCTTCATAGGGGAAACTGGTTCTTTTATAGAACAATTATTGGAATACAAACACAAAAAGTTGAGTGTTATTTAAAAACACAAAATCTTTCCCTATCAGCTGTTATGCAAGTCATTATCTATATCATATTTCTTCAAATAAAACCACCTCCTTATGCTGCGATATGTCCCCTGTCACTTACTATCCCCCTTTATCTTGTTTTTTTTTTTCTTCACAGCATTTTATTTGAGTATCTTTTACATCTGTATCTGCCTCCCCAGCACCTAGAATGGAACATGGCATATAATAGGTGTTCAATAAATATTGATTGACTGGATAGATGAGTAGATCAGTAAATGAGTAAGTGACATTTGGGTAAAGGTAGATAAAGTATATCCAGACCGATACCATATTTGTCCTTCTTCTTCCAGGAAAATGAAGCACAGTATTAATTTGTCTCATATAGAAGTTGCCAAAAATATTTATTGTATGTACACAAATGTATCCAGACCACTCTAGAAACCACCTCTTCTTTGTGCTCTTCTTTCCCCCAGCCTCTCCTCTTTTTGCAGGCTGCAGGACTGCCGAGCTTCGAGGGAGCTGAGAGGAATGCTGTATTCAGGTGATCAGGAGTGGTAACAGATGGTTGGATGCCCTCATTTTGCAGATGCCTCTATATTTGTGCTGCTTAAAAGCATTTTAACTAGCATAGGGCAAAACATGTATTATCTTTTAGTTGCAGCCCTAGTTTCTAGAATCCCGGATTAGTGCGTAGCCCCCTAAACCTCACAGTCACTAATCCACTGCGATGGCTCCTCTGCATCTGTTGATGTTGGATGCTTTCAGCCCCTAGTGAATTCTACGTCTTTAATCTTGTTTGGTGCTGGTTTCTTTTTCCTACCATTAGCTCTTTGGATTGGAATGTGGTTGCCTCATATTTTTTTGTCAGATTCTTTACAGACAAGTAAATAAACTCGAAGAGGGTAAGTAAGGTGACACAGGAGATCTGAGATAGAGCTAGGACTTTTGCCGTCTATCCTTGTCATCAAAAGCACTCATTAACCTTATTGTCATTCTGTGGCAGGGTGGTGGAACAGCACAGGTCGATTTAGAGGTTCAGGACAATGGGGAACAGTCACTTTCTCCAGTTCTTTTGTGCAAACAGCTGACCTAAGAGTAAAACTTAAGCATCCAGAATGTCAGGAAAGCACAGTCTATGTTCATATTTAAGTTCATCTATAGCATTTTTGTCACTTTTAGCTACCATTAGGATGCCTTTAAAGCAGTTATTGTCCAACAGATTTCCATTTAAAGGAAAGGATGTTTGTCATGGTGAGTGATTAAGCAATAGAACATTTCTTAGCTTCTAAGGGAAACCTTTCCAGGTGGAGTCATATGCAGAGGGGAAATGTCATCTTTTATTCTTTTCCTTCAGAAGGAATTGATTAGACAGAACAACTACAGGAGACCCCAAATGTTGAAATCACCAGAAGGCCTTTAAATTGCATAAAATCAAATTTCTAAAAACATGATTCCACCTGTATTGTTGAAAATAGAGAGGCCAGGCACGATGGCTCACGCCTGTAATCCCAGCACTTTGGGAGGCCAAGGCGGGCGGACCACAAGGTCAGGAGATCGAGACCATCCTGCCCAACATGGTGAAACCCCGTCTCTACTAAAAATACAAAAATTAGCTGGGTGTAGTGGTGGGCGTCTGTAAGCCCAACTACTCAGGAGGCTGAGGCAGGAAAATCGACTGAACTTAGGAGGCGGAGGTTGCAGTGAGCCAAGATCAGTGCCATTGCACTCCAGCCTGGGTCACAGGGCAAGACTCCATCTCAAAAAAAAACAAAAAAAAACAAAAAAAAAAAAAGAAGAAGAATTAAAGTCCATTTTATTCAGACGTATCACTGAGGGCTACAGCCCAGAAGCAGACCTCTAGAGAGGTCCATGAAACTACAGCGGCAGCGTTTCAGCTCACTGCTTATATACAGGTGTGGAGATTTTGTTTCTGCAAAATCTCATCAAACTTCCTCAGAAGTTGCATTGGGTGTAAAGTGCATTTGGTTATAGATTACATAGTCATAATCACTAACTTGCCAGACATGATCTTATGTGTAGGAAAAGGCAAGGACTGGGACCATTTATCTTTTTTTTTTGAGACAGTCTTGCTCTGTTGCCCAGGCTGGAGTGCAGTGGCACAAACATATGTCACGGCAGCCTCAACCTCCTGGGCTCAAGCAATCCTCTTTCCTCAGCCTCCTGAGTAGCTGGAACCACACGTGTGGGCCATCATGGCTGGCTAATTTTTTTCATAGAGATTGGAGCGGGGGTCTCACTTTGTCACCCAGGCTGGTTGGTCTCAAACTCCTGGGCTCAAGTGATCATCCCGCCTCAGGTCCCAAAGTGCTGGGATTACAGGCGGGAGCCACTGCTCCTGGCCTCATTTATCTTTTGAGGAATATAGTGACTCAGGCAAGAGAGTTGGGGGTCGTGTGCTCTAGCCTGTTTGGTCCTCAAAGCATCTTTCCCAAGAGCAGCAAGTTGCCACGGGGCTGGGGCTTTGTGACATTCTGCTGCAGGCAGAAAGCAGCACACGTGACTTCTTATATTTGCTACTTTGTCTTACATTTCTATTGTTGTAATCCCTCCAGGCCCTCTTACCCGACTTGACCTTGAGACCAATGGGTGTGTTGGAAAGAGGCTGGCAAGGTCTGAGGGTACAGCCTGTGGCGGAGGTGGGGCCAGGCAGGCCCAGCCCCTCAAGCCAGGCCGTGGGCCCCAGGGCCCTGCCGGATGGCCGCTCTCTGGGAGCTGCATGCAGAGGTGCCTGGTACCCCCAACCGCGCCCCACGGGGCACCTGACCTCCAGAGGAAGGAAATGAGTCTGGAGATGCCGTAGACGAAAGAGTTGCCGCTTCCTCCGCCTGGGATCACTCACAGATGCCTCAGGGAGGCGGCCGGCCCTGAGTCACGCTGAGCGCTGAGCCGGCTGTGACTCAGCGGGACCGCGGTCCCTTGGCTGCGCCTGGGTCGATTTGCGCCCCGCTTGTTTTCTGCAGAAGACAAGGCCGTCTCGGATTAGACTGCCCCTCCTAAACAACCAGCAACTGTTTTTCTTCCTCAAAGTGCAGTTTCCCTCTGGCACAACCAAAAATAAACACAAACCAGGCTCCTGCCCAAGGAGGAGGCGGGGAGGAAGACAGTCCCCGGGGCGCCCACCGAACGCATGTGAGAGCTCGCAGGTCACCTGCTTGCATGAATCTGTGAAGCAAGCAGCCATGAAGGCAGAGAAACCTCTCCCATCGCAGGCTGCCAGCGCAGAGGCTCTGATTGTTGAGTTGGCGCTCTGTTTATTTCCCCAACTGCCTCCTCTCAGGTTCCGTCCTAACTGCTGGACTCACTGCCGCGTGGGCCTGAGCACATTTCCTTGGCAAATTGTCCTCAGTGGAAGTTTTTTCTTCTCGATGTGGTGAGTCAGAGCTGGCTCACACACAAACACCAAGCAGCAGCCTCAGGGACTAAAGTGCTTTAAGGACACGAGGACCTATCCTCCCTCCCCCTATCTCAGTGGGGTGGGCCCACAGTTCCTGAAACCTGGCCCAGTGCAGTTCATTTGACAGGCAGAGGCTGAAAATGCAAATCACCCCAGCATAGGTGAGTGCACAGCAGAGACCACGCCCGGGCTGCAGCTTATCCTGAAATCCTGAAGGCAGGAAACACCGTGCCCACAGGAAGAGCTGGGAAGCCTGAACCATGCTAAGATGTCCCAGGGTGAACCGGAGCCACTGGTTAGTCACACTGACTTCACATTTCCTTTGTGAGAAGGAACTGAAGACAGATTCCAGACTTGCTGTGCATAGAATGTATAGTTCATTGCATGTAAGTACACTCATGTGGTTCCAAATCTATAGGATCAATTCAGCCATTTTACCGTTATGTCCATGACATCTGAATTTACAAAAATCTAAGTGTCTCTAAGCTAGAGATACCTGAAACTAAACAGACCCTACGTATTATTCATTTTATTTTTGAATAGATAATTCACTCATATATTCAGATATCAAATCCTCATAAAATGATATTCGTTAAGAATTCTCACTTCCATTCTGTTCCCATTCCTCTCTGCCCCCATAAGTAACCACTTCTACTACTTTTTTTTTTTTTTTGAGACAGAGTCTCGCTCTGTCGCCCAGGCTGGAGTGCAGTGGCCGGATCTCAGCTCACTGCAAGCTCCGCCTCCCGGGTTTATGCCATTCTCCTGCCTCAGCCTCCTGAGTAGCTGGGACTACAGGCGCCCGCCACCTTGCCCGGCTAATTTTTTGTATTTTTTAGTAGAGACGGGGTTTCACCGTGTTAGCCAGGATGGTCTCGATCTCCTGACCTTGTGATCCGCCCGTCTCGGCCTCCCAAAGTGCTGGGATTACAGGCTTGAGCCACCGCGCCCGGCCAAATTTGTGTTATTTTAAACCACTAAGTTAGTAGTAGCTTGTTACAGACACCACAGGAAATGAACACAACTATTTCCACCTTTTTCTTTTTTTTTTTTTTTTTTAACTGTTATTTGAGGTTCAGGGATGCATGTGCAGGTTTGTTATGTAGGTAAACTCGTGATATGGGGGTTTGTTGTACCGATTATTTCATCACCCAGGTACTAAGCCTAATACCCAGTAGTTATTTTTTCTGATCCTTTCCCTCCTTCACCCTCCGCCCTCAAGTAGGCCCCGGTGTGTGTTGTTCCCTCTTTGTGTCCATGTGTTCTCATCGTTTAGCTCCAACTTATATATGAAAACATATAGTGTTTGGTTTTCTGTTTCTGCATTAGTTTGCTAAAGATAATGGCTTCCAGCTCCATCTATGTTCCCACAAAAGACATGATCACTTTCTTTTTAGGGCTGCATAGTACTCCGTGGTGTGTATGTACCCTATTTCCACTGTTCACAATAGCAAAGATATGGAATCCACTTTTTTCTTAATGAAAGTTAGCATACCCTGGCCGGGCGCGGTGGCTCACGCCTGTAATGCCAGCACTTTGGGAGGCCGAGGCGGGCAGATCACAAGGTCAGGAGATCGAGACCACGGTGAAACCCCGTCTCTACTAAAAATAGAAAAAATTAGCCGGGCGCAGGGGCGGGCGCCTGTAGTCCCAGCTACTCGGGAGGCTGAGGCAGGAGAATGGCATAAACCCGGGAGGCGGAGCTTGCAGTGAGCCGAGATTGCGCCACTGCACTCCAGCCTGGGCGACAGAGCGAGACTCCGTCTCAAAAAAAAAAAAAAAGAAAGTTAGCATACCCTGTATAGGGTAACCCAAAAGCCTTGGTGGAACTTTAGGCATTAATAACTTCAGAATTATAAATGCTACAAACATCACTTGGAAGTTTTATTGTATAAATCTCTTTTACGCTTATTTAGTTTTGTGAATTTTAAATAGCACATTTTATTTTTTGTTTCAGTATCTCTGATCAAAGATAGAAAACAATAATGAAACAAAAATACTAAGTTTAAAATTTATTATTCCAAATTCACAAGACTAAGTGAATAAGAAATGTATACAAGGCTGAGCATGTTGGCTCACGCCTGTAATCCCAGCACTTTGGGAGACTGAGGTAGGTGGATTGTTTGAACTCAGGAGTTTGAGACCAGCCTAGCAACATGACAAAACCCTGTCTCTACCCCCCAAAAAAAGAAAATTAGCCAGGTGTGGTAGTACATGCCTGTGGTCCCAGCTACTTCGGAGACTGAGGTAGGAGGGTCGTTTGAGCCCAGGAGGTTGAGGCTGCAGTGAGCTGTGATGGCACTACTGCACTCCGGCCTGGGCAACAGAGACCCTGTCTCAAAAATAAAAAAAAATAAAAGCTCTTTCCTTGCCTAACGCAGTCATGGTTGTGGTCCCAAGAAGCAGCTGAAGCGGGCAGCAGCTTCATAGCATTTGATGCTGGATAAATTGACCCGTGTGTTTGCTCCTCATCAATCCACCCATCCCCACAAGCTAAGGAAAGTGTTTCTCCCTCATCTTTTCCTAAAGAGCAGAGACTTAAGTATGTCGGACACGAGGTGAAGCAAAGAAGCTTTGCATGCACAGTTTCATTAAGATCAATGGCAAGGTCTGAACTAATGTAACCTACCCTGCTGGATTCATGGATGTCATGAGCACTGACAAGATGTAGAGAATTTCCCTCTGATCTATGACACCAAGGCTCCCTTTCCTGTACATCATATTGCACCTGAGGAGGCCAAGTACAAGTTGTGCAAAGTGAGAAAAATTTTTGTGGACACAAAAGGAACCCCTCATCTGGTGACTCACGACGCTCACACCATCTGCTACCCTGATCCCCTCATCAGGGTGAATGACACCATTCAGATTGATCTGGAGAATGGCAAGATTACTGGTTTCATCAAGTTCGACGCTGGAAACCTGTGTATGGTGACTGGAGGTGCTAACCTGGGAAGAATTGGTGTGGTCACCAACAGAGAGAGGCACCCTGGTTCTTTTGATGTGGTTCATGGGAAAGATGCCAACAGCAACCTCAACAAACCCTGGATTTCTCTTCCCCAAGGAAGGGGTATGCACTTCACCATTGCTGAAGAGACAGACAAGAGACTGGTGACCAAACAGAGCAGTGGGTGAAATGGTCTCTGAGTGACATGTTAGATCTTTGTATGTAATTAAAAATAATATGGGCCAGGTGTGGTGGCTCAAGTCTATAATCCCAACACTTTGGGAGGCCAAAGGGAGTGGATCATCTGAGGTCAGGAGTTTGAGACCAGCCTGGCCAACATGGCAAAACGCCGTCTCTACTAAAAATACAAAAATTAGCCAGGCATGGTGGCTTGTGCCTGTAATCCCAGCTACTCGGGAGGCTGAGGCAAGAGAATCACTTAAACCTGGGAGGCAGAGGTTGCTGTGAGCCAAGATCGAACCACTGCACTCCAGCCTGTGTGTCAGAGTAGGACTCTGTCTCAACAATTATTTAATTAATTAATTACATAATAATATTATATGGCATGATTAATCTAAAAAAGAAAGAAATTTATACAATTAAGTTTTCAAGTCGTGTTTCCTCTATGTTTATAGTACTTTTACTTCTAACATTATAAAAGTTTCGAACTACACTAAGACTTTTGGGATACAGTGGATATTGCTCAGCACTTTGATTTTTGTCAGTCAACAGTATATCCTAGGGTTTTTGTGTCGATACGCAAGGGCTTCTTTTTTTCTTTTATAGTTGGACAGTGTCCTCTCCTGTTGGTGTACCATGATTTATTTAAGTAGTCCTCTATTAATGAATACTTGGGTTGTTTTTAATTATGAAGTGTGCTACATGGGTAATCTTGTACATAGATCATTTTGTGTTGTGCAGGTAGATCTGTAAGTAAATTATCAGAAGTAAGGATGTTGGGTCAAAACCCTACTCTTTAGAAACAAGATTTGCATGAGCTTATTTGCAGGAAAGTAAAAAGAAGCAATAACAGGATGTTATAGATTGTTGGTAGATTGTGGTGGAGAGTGGTAGACTCTGGCAAAGATGGCTACAGTTATTCCTCCCGTCTCTCTGAATGTTCCGGTTCACTGTGACTTTGCCGCGCCTATCATCAAGAGGTCACGTTTATTTATTTACACATTTAGTTTTATTGACACATGTTACATGTATATATTTTCAGAGCACGTGTGATAATTTGATACATTCATATAATCAAATCAGGTAATTGGGATATCCATCACTTTTTTTTTTTAATTGAAACAGAGTCTTTCTCTGTCACCCAGGTTGGAGTGTGGTGGCATGCTCATGGCTCACTGCAGCCTGGACCTCTCAGGCTCAAGCAGCCCTCCCACTTCAGCCTCCCCAGTAGCTGGGACCACAGGCTTGTGCCACCACACCCGGCTAATTTTTTGTATTTTTTGTAGAGAAAGGGTTTTGCCATGTTGCCCAGGCTGGTCTCAAACTCCTAGGCTCAAGCAATCCACCTGCTTTGGCCTCCCAGAGTGCTAGGATTATGGATGTGAGCCACTGCGCCCGGCCAATATCCATCACTCTAAATAATTATCTTTTCTTGATTCTAAGAATGTTCAAATTATTCTCTTCTAGCTATTTGGAAATATATAATCAATTAATGTTAACTATAGTCACCCTACTGATCTATCAAACATCAGGTCTTATATCTTCTCTCTCATATATATTTGTACCCATTAATCCAAGGTCAAGTTGACTTCCTGACTCCTGGGATCTGGGCTGGCTAGTGACTGGCTTTGGCTAATAGAATGTGGAGAAAGTGATATTATAGGACTTCCATGCTGGAGCTTTGAAAGGCCTTGTGGCTCCCTCTGTCTCCTTCTGAACCCTGAGTCCTCCATGAAAAGCCTGGGTGCCTCCACAAGGATGAGAGAGTCAGAGAGCCAGCAACCAGCACAGGTGGGAAGGCCGTCATGGGCCATCCAGCCCCATTGGAGCCTGTGGACGACATGCAAGTGACCCCAGGCCAGACAGCAGGAATACTAGCCAAGCCCAGCCCAATCATCAACCCAGAGGCCTGCTGTTGTTGAAAGTTTCAGGTGCTTTATTATGCAGCAATAGAAAACCCATGCCTCAGGGAAGTAGTTTCTCTTCACAAAACCTTTTTGAAAGGATATACAGTATGTTAGTCACAGCAGGTAAATAACTTTCAGAGTAGCCTGTGGACTCTCAGAAATTTTCTGAGCAAGTCCAATTCAGCTCGTCTCATTTAGCAGGGAGTGTAGGAACTATGGATCCACATCTCAACCCTGAGCATGCCAAAAACCTGGCGACTCAGCACACTATCTCACTTTCACAAAGAGACAGTGGAAGGCTGAGTGTGTGTCGAGGGTGGCTAGGTGAAGGGGTCCCCCCGTCCCGGTGAGGCATTGCTTTCACTGTTGGGCAGCTTCCAAAGTGAAAGGGAAGGAAATCCACTCCTACAGCTTCCCTTCTGAGGCACACTAAGTCTCTTCTCAGTTCAAAAAATCAGGGAAATGAAGAGTCTGAAAGTGGCCTGTTTAGCTTAATCAGGCTCAAAGGAAAGAATATGTTTGATTTCCATTTTTGAACTAATACACCAGAGTTTTCAACATCAAGAAAATCAATTTAATGTGTTGCAACTAGTATTTTTAAAAAATGATATTTGTACACTCATATTCATAGCAGCATTATTCACAATAGCCAGAAAGCAGGAGCAATGCAATGTCCATCGATGAATGAAAGGATAAACCAAATGTTCTATCTATCTCTCTATCTATCTCTCTATCTATCTATCTATCTATCTATCTATCTATCTATCTATCTATCTATCTATCTGGATACATATACATCCAGTGGAATATTACTCAGCCTTAAAAAGGAAAGAAATTTGGACACATGCTATAACATGGAGAACCTTGAGGGCATTATGCCAAATGAAAGAAGCCAGTCACTAAAGGACAAATATGATTCCACTTATATGAAGTACCTAGAGTAGTTAAGTTCAGACGCAGGAAGTAGAATGGAGGTTACCAGAGGCAAAGGAGGGGAAATAGGGAATGGCTGTTTAATAGGTATGGAGTTTGGGATTAGGAAGATGAAAAATGTTCTGGAGATGGGTGGTGGTGATGGTTGCACAGCAGTGCGAATGTAATTAACGCACAGAACCACACACTTAAAAATTAACATGGTTCTTTTTATGTTATAAATATTTTACAATAAAAAATAAGAAGTAGAATAAAATATAGGTTACATAGATGTGTTTATTGTGTGAAAATTTATCAAGATCCACACTTATAATCATGTGCTTTTCTGCCTATTTGCTATGCTTCAATAACAGAATTATTAAAAATCCGAATATAGTAGAAGTCAGAACGCATTGCCCATAATAAGGGTAAGTGTTGTTTTGTGAAACTTTTGTTATAGTTAGAAGTGTGTGTGTGTGTCTGTGTGTGTGTGTGTGTGTGCTGCATTATGATGTTAAGTATATTTTGGATTGTGGTTTTTAAAAAATTGAAGAAACATTATTTTGGGCCTAGTCTCCATTTCTTAGTGCGTGGTTCCTTCCATCTTGAATTTGATATGCTTTTCCCAGTGGAAGTAATTTGATTTTGACATTCATCTATTCAAGCAGAAAAATCCTTTCCCTGGGGTCTTTTCATCATAATCATTTTTCTCCATCTGACTGCTTACAGTAACTAGATTGTATATGCTAGATTAACCAGTAAATTCATGAACAGACTTTCTATCATTTTGCTCCATGGACTGTTCATGAAAGCATTAGCAGCGTACATCACGATGAGAGATGATGATATGAGCTTTATGCTTCAATTCAGAAAAACTACAGTTCCTTTAAACCATAGGGTGTTCGAATTTTCAGATTCCTTGGTGGTTGTGGTTCTAAAGCTCTTGTGCCCATAGGAATCTCATCTGTATCCTCTGAAACAGTGCTTGAGTGTTCATCCAGTGCGTGAACACGTCTGATGGCAATAAGGCATCTCAGCCCATTGATTCATTGCTGGGTAGCCTCCGACTCTAGAAAGCCTGCAAGGGTAGTTTCATGGCAGTCACCCTGCCATGGTAAGTCACCCTGGAACCAGAAGAGGCATCTGTAGTCAGCTAAGCCTTGGTCAAACAGGTGCCTGGAACCATTTGTCATCCACATTTCAAAGGCATCCTTCGTGGGGCATGTGTATTGGTTTAAAAGGGTGCACTTTAATTTTCTGTGTGATTTAATAGAATGGAGCACTTAATGCCAGATACTTCTAAAACAGGATACTTCTAAAACAGGAGAGGAGGCATTGATTTAAGTATTGTGAACATGGGATCAGTGACTGCACACTGATGATTCCATTCTATCTTTATGATCCTGGGGAGAAGGCTGTCACGACTGGGGGACATCTTTCTCTTGGGTCCAAGTGGCCCTGCTCCCCACACCCTCCCTGTTATAGGGGCCGCCTCCAGTGGGGAATGAGGGCCCTGAGGTGCCTCAGCAATGCCTATGGCTGATGGATGAGTCTAATTCTAGGGATCAGTATTTGGAAGTCCACTTGATTATATAAGCCACATCTTCAATTATCAGTTTTATCCATAATGCGGGTAGTATTTTGACTTTCCTTTGCTTTTTGTTTTTACTTTAAGCATGTTACTCATTAGGCCACTGGAATGCAACAACATAGACTTCTATATCCAACTGGCTAAAGAAAGCTGTACAACTGGGCAGATTGGTGAAACTCCAGGTTAGACCCCAACCCTCTATGGCTATTCCTTAGCCCTTTTACCTGGCTTTGGCCAATTTCCTTTCCCATCCTCCTCATCACTGAAGTCAAGCTGCTTCTCTCTGATGTCCAACTGTAGTCTCTGACATCCAGCGGCTTCTCCTCTCTGCTGGCTGAGTTCTGAGTTTCTTATGGGCACAAGATAGGGGGTGGGGTGAGCTAAGGGTGGTTTTGGAAAAGGCAACATGAGCGTGGGAAAACAGGGATGTAAGTCCTCGTTTTGGCCACAGTATTATTAGGCTTTTCGCCTTGAGGGTGGAGCCTTTGCCAGGGACCCACCCTCTTCTGCCCAGAATTTCCCAGCCTCCTGTCCCTGTCATTATTATGCACTGAATGGATTTAGAAATTACTTTTTGTTGACCAGGCGCAGTGGCTCATGCCTGTAATTCCAGCATTTCGGGAGGCTGAGGCAGGTGGATCGCTTGAGCTCAGGAGTTGGAGAGACCAGCCTGGGCAACACGGCAAAACCCTGTCTCTACAAAAAATATAGATAGATAGATAAAGATATAGACATACAAAAATTAGACAGGCATGGTTGCATGGTGGCATTTGCCTGTATTCCCAGCTATCTGTGGGGCTGAGGCAGGAGGATCACTTGAGCTGGGGAGATCAAGGCTGCAGCGAGCCATGTTTGTGCAACTGCACCCCAGCCTGGATGACACAGTGAGACTCTGTCTCAAAACAAGAAAATCAGTTTTTGCTGCAGATTTGACAATGTGTCTTCATTAAGTCAAGCTAAAATTACAAGGCAAAACAGCACTTCTATGCAAATGTTACACTGTGGTAAAGTCATTGTAATTATTAATTTTAGTTGTCAACCTTCTAAGTGGGTTAAGGAATACCCAGACAGCTTATAAAGCATTTTTTCTGGGTATGTCTGTGAAGGTGTTTCCAGAAGAGGTTGGCATTTGAATCAGTGGACTGAGTAAGGAAGATCTGCCCTCATCCAGTATGACCAGGCAACATCCAATTGGCTGAGGGCTTAGATAAAACAAAAAGGCAGAGGAAAAGGAAATTTGTGCACTCTCTTGTTCTCTCTCTCTCTCTCTCTCTCTCTCTCTCTCTCTCTCTCTCTCTCTCTCTCTCTGTTCTGGAGCTGGGACACACTTCTGCCCTTGCACATCAGAACTCCAGGTTCTCCAGCCTTTGGATTCCAGGACTTGCATCAGCAGCGCCCCTGCTTCTCAGGCCTTGGAATTTGGACTGAGAATTACACATCAGCTTCCCTAGTCCTGAGGCCTCTGACCTGGACTGGGCCATGCTACCAGCTTCCTTGGTTCTCCAGGTTGCATGTGGCCTATCATGAGACTTCTCAGCCTCCATAATCTCATAAGCCAATTTCCCCAATAAATCCCCTTTTATATATTTATATCTACATCTATATCCTGTTGGTTCTGGTCTCTGGAGAACCCTAACGAATGCAGATTTTAGTGTTGAAAATGAGATGGTGCTATAACAAATACCTAAAAATGTGGAAGCAGTTTTGGATCTGGGTAATGGGTAGAGGCTGGATCAATTTTGAACCGCATACTGGAAACATCCTAGATGGCCATAAACGGAGTATTAAAGGCAGTTCTGGTGAGGGCTCAGAAGAAGAGGAAAGCTTAGAGAGCCTCGGTCTTCTTAGAGATTATCTAAGTGGTTGCAATCAGAATGCTGGTAGAGATGTGAACAGTAAAGCCCATTCTAATGAGATCTTAGATGAAAATAAGGAATATCTTATTGGAAACTGGAGGAAAGGCCATCTTTGTTACAAACTAGCAAAGGAACCTGACTGAATTTTGTCTGTGTCAGTACTTTGTAGAAATCAGAATTTAAGAGTGATGAACTAGGATATTCGATAGAAGAAATCTCTAAGCAAAGTGTTTCAGGGTGCTACATGGCTTCTCTTGACTGTTTATAATGAAATTCAGAAAGAGAAAAATGAATTCAAGATGGAATTTATATCAAAAGGGAACAAAGGGCTGGGTGCAGTGGCTCATATCTATAATCCCAGCACTTTGGGAGGCCAAGGCAGAAGGATCACTCAAGCCCAGGAGTTTGAGACCAGCTTAGGCAACATAATGAGACCTCATCTCTACAAAAAATAAACAAAATTAGCTGGGCATGGTGTGCATACCTGTAGTCCCAGCTACTTGGGAGACTGAGGTGGGAGGATCACTCAAGACTGGGAGATCAAGGCTGCGGTTGAACCGAGACTGTGCCACTGCACTCAGCCTGGTTAAAGAGAAGGAAAATTATCAGCCTAGCCATGTCGTTAAAAAAGAAAAAGTGTGTTTGAGCAGGAACATCAAGGGTGTGACCAAGCAAAATATTGCTAAAGAGATTAGTATGGACAGAAGGAAGCCAGTTGCTATTCATCAAGACAATAGGAGAATGACCCCAAAGGCACTTCAGAGATCTTTGAGGCTGTGACTCTCATCACAGGCCCAGAGTGCTAGGGCCTTGAGGGAAGAACGTTTCAAAGGAGGATCCCAGGACACCCATGGGACCTTGGGGCTCACAGCCCAGGGGCACCCCAAGCTTCTGCTCCCTGAATTCTGGTGCCACTGGAATGCAACAACATAGACTCCTTGACCACCCCAGCTGTGGCTCAGGGGGTCCAGATGCAACTCAGGTCAACAATCCAGAAGGCACAGTATGTAAATCTTCATGGCATCCATGTGATGCTAACTCTCCAGGCATGCAGAACGTGAGAACGGTGGAAGCATGGCTACCTCCACCTAGATTTCAAAGGATGCCTCACAACCTCAGTCTCAGAGCTCTGAACAGCCACAAGGCAGGGTGTGGCAGAGAGTCCCCACTATGGCAATGCCCAGCAGAGCCACAGGGTCAAGACCACTGCAGAGAGCCCCCAGTAGGGCAATGCTTAGTGAGGCAATGCAAGACAGCCACTCCTAAAGGCTGCAAACCTGTAGAGCCACCAGCATGCAATGCCAGCCAGAAAGAGCCATAAGCATCCAACTCCAACTCCTGAGAGCTGCAGCGTGGGCTTCATCCAGCAAAGGCATGGTAGTGGGGTCTCCCGGGGGACTGGGGACCCAATCCCCACTCCAGTGTGTCTGGAAGCTAAGATGTGGAGTCAAAGATTATTCTCAAGCCTCAAGATGTAATGTTGTTTGCCTCACTGGGTTCTGGACTTACTTGGGATTTATTACCCCTTGTTTCTTGCCTTTTTCTCCCTTTTAAGAATGGGAATGTCTATGCCATGCTTGTCCCATTACTCTATTTTGGAAGTATATAACTTGTTTGATTTCACAAGCTCACAGTTAGGATAAATTTTTCTCAAAATGAGTCATATTTTGAGTTTCACCCTGAGTCTTATCCATATCTGATTTAGATGATATTTAGATGAGACTTTGGACTTAGATTTTAAAGTAGATACTAGAATGAGTTAAGACTTTTGGGGGCTATTGGGATGGAATGAATGTATTTTGAATATGAGAAAAACACGAATTTGAAGGGCCAAGGGGTGGACTGCTACTGTTTGAACATTTGTATTCCCTCCCAAATTCACATTGAAATACAATCCCCACTATAATGGTATTAAGAGGTGGGGCCTTTGGGAAAGTGATTAAGTCATGAGGGCTCCACCATCATAAATAGATTATTGCCTTATAAAAGGGCTGAGGGAATTAGCTTAATCCCTTTTCGCCCTTCCACCTTCCAACAGGTGAGAACACAGCAACAAGGCACCATCTTGGAAGCAGACAGCAACCCTCACCAGACACCAATTGCTGGTTCCTTAATTTTGGACTTCTCAGCCTTCAGAAGTGTAAGAAATAAATTTATCTTCTTTTTTTGTTTGTTTGTTTGGTTTTTTTGAGACAGAGTTTCGTTCTCATCACCCAGGCTGGAGTGCAATGGTGCAATCCTGGCTCACTGCAACCTTCGCCTCCCAGGTTCAAGCGATTCTCCTGCCTCAGCCTCCTGAGTAGCTGGGATTACAGGCACCCATCATGCCTGGCTAATTTTTGTATTTTTAGCAGAGACAGAGTTTCACCGTGTTGGCCAGGCTAGTCTTGAACTCCTGACCTCAGGTGATCCACCTGCCTCAGCCTCCCAAGATGCTGGGATTACAGGCTTGAGCCACTGCACCCTGCCAAATTTCTCTTCTTTATACGTTACCCACTCTATGATATTTTGTTACGGCAGCACAAATAGACTAAGACAGTCATTTTGACCACGACTAATGTTTGAATCATAAGTAATGTCAATCTGCTTTGTCTACTTCTGGTACTAACAAAAGCTAAAATAAGAAGTGAGATCTTCATCCTGACACAACTTTGCACTGGATATATTATTCAAGTTCAAACTATAGTCCCAGTAGTATGTTGTAGACCTCAATGCAAGTACAAAGGAAATTTACATCTTTCAAAACCCGTTTAACTGTGCAATCCTGAGCTTCCACACAACCTTTAATTTGAAGAGATTGTCTACAATGTAATAATTTGCTAAAAAGCAAATATCAAGAGGAGAATCCAATAGAATTTTGTAATGCCTTCCAAGTGATTAATATGCTCAATTAAAATCACATGCTCGTCTAAGACCAAGAATAAGGCAAAGATGCCCACTATCATCAGTACTGTTCAAGATAGTACTGGAAGTTCTAGCCAGAGCAATTAGACAAGAAAAAGAAATAAAGCAGTGGAGGTTTGAGATGTTGGCCAGTTAGATATGAGGAACAAGTTCAAGAGATCTATTGTACAACATGGTGACGCTAACGAGTAACAGTGTATTTTATTCTTGAAAATTGCTAAAAGAGTAGATTTCAAGTGTTCTCACCACAAAAAGGATACGTAGGTGAGGTAATACATGTTAATTAGCTTGGTTTACGTATTCTGCAATGCGTACATAATTCAAAAATCACGTTGCACATGATAAATATGTACAATTTTTATTTATCAATTAAAATAAGTTTAATTTAAAAAATAAAAGGCATAGAAACTGGAAAATGATAAAGTTATCCCTGTCTGCTGATGACATGTAGAAAACACTAAAATTTCTAAAAAGTCCAGGTGCAGTGGCTCACACCTATAATCTCAGCATTTTAGGAGGCTGAGGTGGGTGGATCACTTGAGCCCAGAAGATTGAGACCAGCCTCGTCAATGTCTCTACAAAAAATATAAAAATTAGCCTGGCATGGTGGCATGCACCTGTAGTTCCACCTACTTGGGAGGCTGAGACAAGAAAATGGCTTAAGCCCAGGAAGTCAAGGCTGTAGTAAGCAGTGATTGCACCACTGCACTCCAGCCTGGGCAACAGAGTGAGATTCTGTCTCATCAATAGACAAAAAGACACCAAACCATAGATCATTAAAGAAAAAAAATGACCAATAGACTTCAAAATTAGATTTTTCTGCTCTTTAAAAAACGCGAATAAGAAAGACTGAGAGGAAATATTTGCAGTATCTGACAGACTAATATTGAAAATATATGAATAATTCTTACAACTTAATAATAAAATAATAAATAACCAAATTTAAAATGGGTAAAACAACATTTCAACAAAGAAGCTATACAAATATCAAATAAGCACAGGAAGTGGTGCACAAAGTCATTAGTCCTTAGGGAAAGCAAATTGAAACCATGGGAGATACCTCTATACACCCACTGGAATGTCTAAAATTAGAAGCTTGAGGGCCGGGTGCGGTAGCTCATGCCTGTAATTCCAGTACTTTGGGAGGCTGAGGCAGGCCGATCACTTGAGGTCAGGAGTTTGAGACCAGCCTAGCCAAAATGGTGAAACCCCATCTGTACTAAAAATACAAAAATTAGCCAGGCGTGGTGGTGGCACCTGTAGTCCCAGCTACTTGGGAGGCAGAGGCAGGAGAATCACTTGAACCCAAGAGGCAGAGGTTGCAGTCAGCCAAGATTGCGACACTGCCCTCCAGCCTGGGCAACAGAGCGAGACTCCATCTCACAAAACAACAACAACAAAAAGAAGCTTGAAAATACCAACTGTTGAAGAGGCTTTAAAGCAATCAAAACTTTTATACATTGCTGGGGAGTATGTAAAGCAGTATAACCACTCAGGAAAATAGCTTGGCAATTTCTTATAAAGTCAAACATACACTTACCATCTAACCTAGCTATTGCAGTTTTGTTTTGTTTTGTTTTGTTTTTTTGAGACAGCGTTTCACTCTTACTTCCCAGGCTGGAGTACAGTCTCAGTTCACTGCAACCTCCGCCTCCCAGGTTCAAGCAATTCGCCTGCCTCAGCCTCCCAAGCAGCTGGGACTACAGGCACCCACCGCCATGTCCAGGTAATTTTTTGTATTTTTAGTAGAGACGGGGTTTCATTTTGTTGGCCAGGCTGGTCTCGAACTCCCGACCTCAGGTGATCCACCCGCCTCAGCCTCCCAAAGTGCTAGGATTACAGCTGTGAGCCACTGCGCCCAGCCCTATTGCAGTTTTAAGTATTTTCTTTAAGAGAAATAAAAATTGATGTCCAAGAATCTGTATACTAATGATAATAGCATCAGCCATAATAGTCCCAAACAGAAAACAACTCAAATGTTTATCAGTAGTTGAATAAAAAGTTGTATATATCCCTGCAATAAACACATCAGCAATAAAAAGAACCAAATTACTGATACCTAGATGAATCTCAAAAATATTGCAACGAGCAAAAGAAACCACAAAATAGTACATACTGTATGATTCTATTAATATGAAATGAGAAAAGACAAATCTAATCTTTAGTAACAGAAAGAAGACTGGGCAGAAGGGAACTTTTGTGGAGTGACAGAAATGCTCATGTTAATCACAGTAGTAGTTACGTAGCTGTATACTGTCAACAGACAAAATTACCACAAATTTGGTTATAGATCTGTTTAGCTTTGCTCAAGACTTGTGAATTGGGACAGCCTCCGTTCTACAAAATATGATGAGAACTCCCACCAAGCTAAGGCAGAACACTGGGCTTTGTGAGATGAAAACAAGGAAACAGAACAATAGCACTGATTAATATCAGGTTACTTTTTTTTTCTGAAAGTTAAAGCAGAGGAACTTCCTTATTATGCTGACTCAGGTAGACTGGAATCTCCTGTTCTCAAAAAACTGGTCTGGCTGGGGATCTATCCGCTTGCTTCCTTGAAGTTTCAGTTTGATTATGTGGCATTTAGCATCAGTGACTCTATTTTGGTTTGGTCTGGTCTGTTGGAGCCTAGCACAGGAGCTCAGCCTAAAACAACAGCCTCCCATAATTTTGTTTAAAAGTACGATTGTCAAAACTCATTAGATAGTACATTTATAATGGGTGCATTCCAGTGTATGTAAACTTAAAGAAATTCTCCACCAGGAGCAGTGGCTCACGCCTGTAATCCCAGCACTTTCAGAGGCCAAGGTGGGTGTAGGTTTGAGCCCAGGAGTTTGAGACCAGCCTGGGCAACACGACGAAACCCTGTCTCTATAAAAAATGCAAAAATTAGCCAGGCCTAGTAGCCTGCGCCTGTAATCCCAGCTACTCAGGAGTCTGAGGTGGAAGGATCACTTGAGCCCAGAAGGCGGAGGATACAGTGAGCTGAGATCATGTCACTGCACTCCAGCCTGGGCAACAGAGCAAGCCCCTGTCGCAAAAAAAAAAAGAAAAGAGAAGAAAAATCCTTTCTTCCCTATAGTTTTCCATCTCTCCAAATCAGCTTCATTGGGTTTCTGTTTTCACTCCTCCTTTCATCTGTTCAGAACCATTCCTCTCTGAGGAATATTGTATTTGTTTCTTTCAAATGTAAATTGTTTTGGCCTTTTTCAGCTCCATCCAACTCTCTCAACTTCATCCTTTCAGGGATATGCATAATACAACTCCAGTCTGTACAAAGCACCCTTCCTCCTTGGAAGCTGGAGGCTGAGAACTGCAGATACTTATAAATTGCCCCTCACACACACACACTGAAATACATTGCTGTGCCAATGGCAGTGCCAAAGCCAGGACTATAATCCAGATTACCCAATTTTCTGATAGAATGAATGTGTTTCTTATGCCAGCTGCAGCTTAACATGCAAAATCCCTTTTTTGTCTTCTAGTTCAATATACACTATTTGAATAGACGTTAGGTAAATCCCATATTTTCTTCAGAGATAGAGGCTGAGGAGGCTGGGGTGGGAGTGAGGGTTTAATTTGCACCCATGTTAGATGTCATGCCTCCCAGGCTCACTGCTTTGCAGAGGAACTTAGGTAATTATCATAAGGAACAAGCACACACAAATCAAAGGTCAACTGAGCTGAAGTTATTTGATTTAGGATTTTGGTGATGTTCTTTGCCCTTGTTAATGCTGCTGCCGCTTTTTGTTTGTTTTTGTTAAAAAATAGCAACCAAGTGCCCACATTTAAGATATTTTCATCACAAGTTTACTGAAGAGCAACTCACATATTGTCTTTCTAAGAATTCAAGCTGCATTCATTCTTCTCCTTGCCTGTCCCCATGGCAACAGTACCCAGGTGCCATTTTAGCAGGTTTTACTTAGTAACTTTCAGTATCAACACGATTTTTGCATTGTTCTTCTTGTATATACTAAATTAGAAAAGTTAACAACAAAATGATGGACGATAGAAAACACTTCCAAACTCATTTTGTGAAGCCAGCATTATCCTAATGCCAAAATGAGACAGACACCACAGTAAAAGAAAAAACTGGCCGGGCACAGTGGCTCACGCCTGTAATCCCAGCACTTTGGGAGGCCGAGGCGGGCGAATCACTAGGTCAAGAGATCGAGACCA